GCCGCCGAGAATGGAACGTCCTCCCATTGGTTGCGCCATAGGTTGCGCCCTCGGCCGCCGAGAATAAAACGTCCTCCCATTGGTTGCGCCATAGGTTGCGCCCTCGGCCGCCGAGAATAAAACGGCCTCCCACTGGTTGCACCATAGGTTGCGCCCTCGGCCGCCGAGAATAAAACGACCTCTTATTGGTTGCGCCATAGGTTGCGCCCTCGGCCGCCGAGAATAAAACGTCTCCCGATTGGTTGCGCCCTCGGCCGCCGAGAGTAAAACGACCTCTTATTGGTTGCGCCATAGGTTGCGCCCTCGGCCGCCGAGAATGGAACGTCCTCCCATTGGTTGCGCCAAAGGTTGCGCCTTCGGCCGTCGAGAATAAAATGTCCTCCTATTGGTTGCGCCATAGGTTGCGCCATAGGTTGCGCCCTCGGCCGGCGAGAATAACGCTACCTCCGATTGGTGGCGCCATAGGTTGCGCCCTGGGTCGCCGGAAATTAATATTAAAACGTCTTCCTATCAGGTGGGACCAGTTCAGTCCACTCAATCTAGTCAGCTTAATTCGCGATAAACGAATCCGGGATACGCCAGAAATTACGTGCGAACCATTCTGTGGACAGTGCACGTATACCACATATGTGCGCGCGGCATTCTCCATAGCATTATATATGGTCACATAGCGCCGATGTGTTTACGACATCACCACATATGACTTCATAGCGGTGGCAACATAAATTTTTGACATTTCACACATCGCACACACGCCGGCGCCACCTGTGTTTCCCACCACAAAACAAAATTACGCATCGGCCCGTCTTGCATTCTGATTCGAGATCTATGGTATTGACTGCTTTGTTTTCCGCCGCAAAATAAAATTACGAATCGAGCCGTCCTGCATGTTGATGAGAGTTCTATGGTCTTGACTGTTAACGTACATGCTACCAGAAAAAAGCCAGAGCACCATTAGTTCAAAATTATGTTTTTGTCGGAGGATACATACCAACGCTTTTTTGCTACCGAGACAAAATCTGGATCACAAGTTCTCAACATATTTGTTGGTGTTGTGCACGGCCAGGTGCCGCAAACATGTTCAAAACCGTTGTTAATCATGTTAAGTATCGTTGTTAAACGCTTCAACATAAGTTTAAATCGTCGACTTATAAGTCGACATAGTTCGACTTAGTAAGTCGAACTACGTCGACTTAGTAACTCGAACGTTCGACTTAGCTAACTCGACTTAGGTCGACTTAGTAAGTCGAGTTAGGTCGACTTAGCTAAGTCGACTTATAACTTGATTATAACTCAATTACTAAGTCGAAGAGTTCAGGGCTAATTGAGTTAAGTATAAGTCACCTAACTTGGTTATAACCCGACTTATAATTCAACCTCCTAAGTCTGCTGACTTTTACTAACTCAGCGAGTTCTCATAAGGTATTCGAACTGGACTTATAACTCAGACGCTGTCAGTCACTATTAAACGCGCCAATTTATAACTTAGTTATAACTTAGTTATAACTTAGTTACTAACAGGCGTCCTCAACTTATATCTAAGATAAAACCCGCCATTCATCTCAGTGGGCTCCTCTGGGCACCTCCCCCGGGGCCGGTTTTGTGAGGATGTCTCAAGCGAGGGCGCCGGTTTGGGATTCGTCGGCGGATCCACCGGATCCAGCGGATCTGTCGGAAACGTTGCCGGAGGCCGCTCTGGGCTCCTCTGGGCACCTCCCCCGGGGCCGGTTTTGTGAGGATGTCTCAAGCGAGGGCGCCGGTTTGGGATTCGTCGGCGGATCCACCGGATCCACCGGATCTGTCCGGAAACGGTGCCAGAGGCCGCTCTGGGCTCCTCTGGGCACCTCCCCCGGGGCCGGTTTTGTGAGGATGTCTCAAGCGAGGGCGCCGGTTTGGGATTCGTCACCGGATCCAGCGGATCCCGGATCCAGCGGATCTGTCCGGAAACGGTGCCGGAGGCCGCTCTGGGCTCCTCTGGGCACCTCCCCCGGGGCCGGTTTTGTGAGGATGTCTCAAGCGAGGGCGCCGGTTTGGGATTCGTCGGCGGATCCACCGGATCCACCGGATCTGTCCGGAAACGGTGCCGGAGGCCGCTCTGGGCCCCTGTGCTCCCCACGCCGGGGGTGAGGATGACGGTAGTTCCACAGAAACTCCCTCAAATTATTTTTCTTTTTCTTCTCCTTCTTCTTTTTTTCTTTTTGTTATCATTATTGTTATTATTAGTATTGTTCCGTTTCTTCGTCTTCTTCTTATGTTTGCTTTCCTTTTCTTCTTCCTCTTCTTCTTCTTCTTCTTTGCGACCGTTCCCTGGCCCACCCCTCGTCCGCGCACGTGCCTCGGGCCACGACTTCCCCCTTCCCCGCCCCCTCTCTTGGCGCCCGACGCTTCTCCGCCGCCTTGCCGCTCCCCCCCGCCGTCGGCGCTCTGGGGCATCGCCCCTCTCCATGCTGCTCCGCCCCTGCCCCCGCCAAGCCCGGTTCCTCCTCGATCTCCTCCTCCATTCCTCCTTCGCCTCCTTCGCCTCCTCCTCCTCCTCGTCCCTCCTCCTCCTCCTCGTCCCTCCTCCTCCTCCCTCCTCCTCCTCTTCCCTGCTCCTCCTCTTCCCTGCTCCTCTCCTTCCTCCTCCTCCTCCTCCTCCTCCTCCTTCCCCTCCTCCTCTCCTCCTCTCCTCTTCCTCCTCCTCCTCCCCTCCTCCTCCTCCTCCTCCTCCTCCTCCTCCTCCTCCCCCCCCCCCCACCGCTCCCGTGAGCGCGCGGAGGGACCGAGGGACAGGGAGAGGAGGCGGACCCCCAGAGGTCCAGAGAGGGTCAGACGCTTCGACCGAATGTCGACTCCCGATCATCCAGGAACGAGAAGGGACAGCAGAAGGCAAGAAGAGAGC